ATGTGACACAACAACAAGTTGTGAGACACCAAGTGAATAAACAAAATTCACATCCCACATCAACAGTGCACTCAATACCTGATGTTGGGACATCGGAACACCCTGACGCTATCGTATTGGGAAATAACGAACCGTCACGAGGGGTACAAGAAATTTCCATAAACTACATTGATTCTGGAGAATCATATGACCGAAAGACTACAATTGTCGACATATACTTTGCCAAAACAATTGCCGAAATTATCCAAACTGATCCAGATCCCAAGACCATGGCAGAGTGCAAAAAGCACTCGGACTGGAACAAATGGAAAGAAGCAATTCAAGCAGAGTTAGCCTCGCTCACAAAAAGAAAGGTATTCTCATCAGCAATACCTACACCTTCACAAATCTTCCCTGTGGGATTTAAATGGGTTTTCGTCCGAAAACGGAATGAAAATAATGAGGTGGTGAGATACAAAGCGAGACTTGTAGCACAAGGGTTCACGCAGAGACCTGGCATTGATTTCAATGAAACATACTCTCCAGTTATGAGTGGAATAACTTTCCGATATTTAATAGCATTGGTAGTTCAAAATCATCTATCTATGCAGTTGATGGATGTAGTGACAGCATATTTATATGGGTCACTTGATTCGGACATTTACATGAAGGTTCCCGATGGAATTCCTATTCCGAATCCTAAAGCAAGTCGCGCCACATATTGTGTGAAACTTAATAAGTCACTATATGGCTTAAAACAGTCAGGACGGATGTGGTACAACCGACTGAGTGAGTTCCTATTACAAAAGGGATACACCAATAACGATGATTGCCCATGTGTCTTCATAAAGAAATCCCAAATAGGGTTCTGTATTATATCCGTATATGTGGATGATTTAAATATCATTGGCAACCCACATGATATCAATGAAGCACACAATCTCTTAAAGACGGAATTTGAGATGAAGGATTTAGGTCAAACTAAATTTTGCTTGGGTTTACAAATCGAGCACCTTCACTCAGGAATATTAGTACATCAATCTGCCTATATCCAGAAAACACTAGAGAAATTTAATATGCATAAATCATATCCATCCAAAACTCCCATGGTTATTCGGACTCTAGACATGGAGAAAGATTCATTTAGACCAAAGAACGAAGATGAAGAGGTACTGGGGCCCGAGGTCCCATATCTCAGTGTCATTGGAGCACTAATGTATCTTGCAAATCAAACTAGACCTGACATTGCATTTGCAGTAAATTTACTGGCTAGATATAGTGCTACTCCAACTAAACGTCATTGGACGGGAGCCAAACAAATCTTGCGATATCTCAATGGCACCAAAGATCTTGGATTATTTTTCCAAAGAAACCAAGATCCAACTGTAATTGGATACGCTGATGCTGGCTATTTATCTAATCCCTATAATGGCCTATCCCAGACAGGCTTTGTATTCCTATATGGAGGAACAGCTATATCATGGAAGTCATCTAAACAGACTTTAGTAACAACTTCCACAAATCATTGTGAAATTGTTGCACTATATGAAGCATCACGGGAGTGTGTATGGCTCCGCAGAATGATTAATCACATACAGCAATCTAGTGGGATTGGTCCCATTGAATCACCCACAATTATCTATGAAGATAATGCTGCTTGTATTACACAAATGGAAACAGGTTATATCAAAAGCAATATAACTAAACATATTTCTCCCAAATTATTTTATCCTCATGAATTACAAAAGAATGGAGAAATAAAAATCTTGCAAACAAAGTCTTGTGATAATCTTGCAGATTTATTCACTAAGTCATTACCAGGTCCCATGTTCCAAAATTTTGTTCATAGTATTGGTATGCGACGACTTAAAGACTTGCAAGTTTCAGGGGGAGATAATCTCTGAAAATAATCATTTGTGTTAAATATTATATTGCACTCTTTTCCTATTATGAGTTTTTACAAAAACTTTCTCATAAAAGGTTTTTAATGAGGCAATATCTAATATATAATATGTCATATTTCCTATTTTCCTCACAAGAGGTTTTTAAGGGGAATATCAAAGGCATTTTCTTCCTCATATTTTCCACGTGGTTTTGGAGGAGGACATGGCCCATAGACCATTATATTGTTCTAAACTAAATTATGGATTTTTCCTATAAAGTTTTTTCCGTATAAGTTTACAATGGACAATAATCTAAAAATATGTCATATCATTTCTCCTGATTTTTCCCCACTGGGTTTTTGAGGAGTTTAATGACATATCAACAATATAGCACCTCATATTTTTCCTACAAGGTTTTTAGAGGCCCTGAAGATATTATTTGATCTCAAGACTGGATGCGATCAGGGGGAGTGTTACGAAGCAATCCGTTCATCAAGGAGAAGAACCAATAGGATTACAGAGATCCCATCCAACCAGATTAGTGACATGGATCAACCTTAGCCTTAGATCTAAATCCAACCATCAGTGTAATCTCTCCCTGTAATCACTGTAGTTTCGTACGGACTACTCCATCTTTCGGAACCGACATCACCGGGATCGCTACCCGTTGGGAAGCCGCGTATCCGCGTCCCCGAACGGGCGTCTGACAACTCCCGTGGCGTCGCTTCAACCTGTATAAATTGTGAGATCGATTAATGGAAAAGTATGGTTCGATTCATTCTTTCTCTCGATCACTACTGCTTTTAAACACCAACAACTGGCACCGGCCAGTTAAGAAGGATATATTTGAGTCCCTTTATATATAAGTACTTTTGTGATTTCTAGAACGGTTTAAAGAATGAAATTAAAGAAATCTTGAGTTGCTTGTAGAAGATGGTTCAAAATTTCAGCACAAAATTGACCGAAATTTCATGAATTTTAGTGGTGGCTCAAAGAAAATCCGAATTTTTGTAATACACTAATGCACGTGTTATATAACTCTAGACTCATACTTGTTTATGTTGCATATTGTTCTACTCAGTAGATGTGTAATCATAAATCATGCTAATATTTGTTCAAATCTAAATTTTTGGAAAAGACATACTTCATGTGCAAGTCTCTAAAAAATTCGATGAAATTTTGGCCGAATTTCATGAATTTTGGTAATTTTAGCGGTGACCGAATTTTTTTTAATACAAAAATTGAAAACCCTGCTTATGATAATATAAGTCAATATACTTCATCAGTAGCCATGTATGAGCACGTTTTTGTCAGTTTTATTTGTAATAAAGAGAAAACCTCTTGAAACTAGAAAAACTAGTTGTCATGCATGCAAATTGACAGCTCACTAGTTGGAAATTGACTAGGTCACAGTGTCACACGAGCCGAGGCTGATCGAGAGGGATTCTCGGCGAGTCACCTTCGTGGGTTCATTTTTTATCCGAAGTGTAAAAATCCCTTGCAAGTAGCGTGCCACATTCCGCGACCCCGTACCTCGATCCCATCTATCCAGAAACTTTGTGACTTTGGGCAGAACCACACCGGGGAGAGGCCATGAAAATTGTGACAGGCAGTTGCTTTCGTGATGCCTCGGCCTCAAAAGTGACGACTTTTTATGGTCAGGGTTACATCACTAGCCTGCAAGAAGTCAAGAAGGCCACCGGCGCTAAATCACGATTGCTCATCGTGGACGTTTTCAACGATTCAGGCGCAGGCGGCAGGCCTTCATCAAGCTTCGTATAAATAAATCAGCCGGCCGGGAAGAATAATGCAACATACAGTAGATTGCAATTTCAGCCCACCGTCGTATGGCAGATCAGTTTGCTTGTGCTATTCCTTATCATCTAATCTAATGCAGGCACTGACAGATACTACTGGAATCTGGTTCATCAACTAACGCTAGAGATTTGGAATAATCCTCTGATGCTATTCCTTAAAAAAATGTTCTATGCTCGTCAACTTACATTTGGCACTCCTCACTGGAATATTGGATTGGAGCCTGCCTCCGCCACCAACTTAAATATAGCGCATGGGATGAATTTACGTTAATCCGTTGCCATCGGTCTTCCCGCTAGCCTTGCTCCAGTACAGAAGGTCTGATAGATGTTGCTGATGGAAAGAAGTGCCTGCCCTGACCCTTCTGATAAAAGGCATCCAACCAGATTAGATTTTTGTTCGTGTGTACGAGTTACGAATTAGTATTCACATCTCAATTTTGTGTGGATCTGTTTTCAGGGTTGCTGTTGTCACCGGAGGGAACAAAGGAATTGGGCTTGAGGTATGCAGGCAGCTAGCTTCCAGGGGTGTCATGGTGATCCTGACGGCGAGGGACGAGAAAAAGGGATCAGAAGCAGTGGATATGCTTCATGGATCAGGACTACCTGATGTACAGTTTCACCGGCTGGATGTCAGCGATTCAACTGACGCTGCCCGTCTGGCCGAATTTATCCAAGAGAAGTTTGGCAAGCTCGACGTGAGCTTATTTTAACTTTCTGAATAGTAAGTTAGTAACTCATATCACATACACCATGCTTTGTATGGAGTATGGACTCACTCAAGCAACCTGGTGCCGGTAGCTCCGCAGATCAATAATGCAGGGGTTATAGGTGTAAGTACAACTACAGAGATTGATACCACAACGCCAATTCAGGACGTAGTAAGTCCTTTGACTTCTCCAAGATCATTGTTCACAATTTTCACAGTAGCGTCACCGTTTCTCTACTGAAAAGACGCTACTGTCAGTCTGCAAGATTGCAACTTGCAGCAGCATGATCTCTTTGTACTTACCCTTTTCTTGGTCCCTTGAGCTGAAGTGGTAAACTAGGATTAACCCAGTGCATCGAACAGCTGGCAGGCAAGAGCACGACGGAGAGGCTACAATGGTTGGTGCAGCACTCCTCGGAGAGTTATGAGGAAGCAAGAGAATGTCTGAAAATAAACTACTTCGGCACCAAATATGTGACCGAAGCACTCCTCCCTCTTCTATCCTTTTCTGACGGACAACTACGGACAACTCCGGGGTATACCTATCTGAACTTCTGCACAATCATACATATCAGTCGGTCTTTTCTCGTGCACTAAATAAACCTTCTCTTCCAGTATTTCAGTGGTGAAGATCTTAAGCAAGAGCTAAACGATATTGACAAGCTGACGGTAGAGAGGATAGACGAGATGTCAGATTTGTTCCTGAAAGATTACAAGAACGACCAGCTGAATTCTCATGGATGGCCTGCTGATTCTGGGTGCCTAGCCTACAAGGTATCCAAGGCTTTGACCAATGGCTATACAAGGATACTGGCGAAGGCGCACCCGGAATTGCGCATCAACAGCGTGCACCCCGGCTTCTGCGAGACTGACGTCAACTTTCACACCGGTGAATTCACCTCGGAAGACGGTGCCAGTTGCATTGTTGCAGTGGCGCTGTTGCCGGAAGGAGGCCCAACTGGCATGTTCTTCTCCCGCACAGAAGAAGCACCCTTTGTGTAACTTTTGAAGGGTTACTCACTCAGTGATGTAACGATAACGATTAACGAATGTGGTGGCATCAAGCTTGAACTATGTTATAGAACAACTGCACTGCATTGGAAGCTTCCGAAAATCTTCCGGTCCGACCAGGTGGCAGGAAGCCACACGCCGACCACCCCTTCCCTCTCCCTCTCCACGCTACGTGGCCTCCCTCTCCGTCTCCCACGCGACGTGGCCCGGCCCACCCTCTCCCTCTCCCTCTCCCTCTCCCAGGCGACCCCGCGCCCGCGCCCCGCCGAAGAGGAAGAAGAAGGATGGCTAGGGTTCCGGCGACGTCGGTTAGGGTTCCGACATCTCCCCCTCTTCTTCTCCAACTCCAGTGGGCTTAGAAGGCGGTTCAGGGGAGGCAGGCCGGCCCAGCCAGTTAGGGGCCCTGGCGGCGGTGGAGGCGGCCGGGCCATGTCGGGGCGAGGGCGTCCTAGTGGTGCTCGCTGCCGAGCATGGCCATGGTGGCGGTGGGAGTGGGAGAGGGGGAAGAAGGAGGCTGCCACGGCTGCGCTAAGGTTTCGCCAGAGCTTCGCGGCTGCGGAGCTCCGGCGAAACCCTAGCGTAGCTGCGGCGGCGGGGGTGATGATGAAGAGGATGATAAACAGTGGGCCGGCGGGGCGAGGCGAGACCCATCTTCAGCTGGTCGGCGTGCGACTGGGTGCCACCCTGGTCGTACCCTAGCACTCCCCGGAAGCTTCTATGTTCTCTTGAGGAACTGAATAAATAGAATTCCTAGCATTTGTTTACATGTGGATCTCTGATTCTATTTACAAGTACCTGAACTATGGTTGGTAATTTGAAATGTTCATGGTGGCAAATGCCATAGAAATGAAAAAAATGTCTAGGTTAACAAAAAAGGATAAAAAATCACAAATAATTAAATCAACGTGTTCTGAAGATCAAACTCAAAACACATATTATTGGCATGGTACAACATACAAGTAAACTTAAATTATCTTGATTAGATAGTTGTATCAAAGGGTTAACTCAAACATTTATGACAATGGTGGCGGTGTAACGTACAGACATAAACCTAACTACATATAAAACATCACCCAACCAAGTGAAAGCCCTAATTTGATTTTGGATAATTGATGAAACCTAAGCACTAACATTTGTTATAAGTGATGATATGAGCTAGGTTGGTGCAATCCATATGAGGAGCATGGTGGCACTCAAATGGTGATGTTGATCACATGAAATGATGAGATGGCCACATGTGGTGATGATCAAGTGCTCAACTTAGAAAAGAAGAAAGAGAAAAACAAAGCCCTATGGAGATCAAGGCAAAGGTATAATTTAGGATTTTGTTTTAGTGATTAAGACACTATAGAGAGTGTGATCACATTTAGGATACATGGTCGTACTATTAAGATGGGTTCTTAACTAGATAATTCGGTCATCTAGTGCCACTAGGTGTTGGACTTCATGCATTGCATTTAGGCCTAGTGCACATCGGAGAGCAAGCGAAAATATTTACGAAAAATATTGACAAATGCTAACTTGGCTCTAACATGTTTTGAGAAAATACTTTGAGAATTAGCAACGCTTGGAAAAGAGTGTTAGACTGCTTGTGGATCGAATCGAGAAACAAAATCACAGCTAACGGAGGAGTTTGCCTCGGGTGGTCACCACCATGTGTGTGGCAGCGCACCACCCTGGCCCGTCCGGTGATCGGCTGGCTGAGGCAAAGAAGCGCTAGTGCTGGGGCTGGCACCGCCCTAGCCTGGAGGTGGTCGAGAGCAGCATGTTAGAGGGCGGTCACCGACGTGTTCGGTGTACATCGCCAGGTGCACGACGGTGCACCGCCTGGTCACCGCCATAGGCAGGGCGGTGCCATCGCTCCTCTTTACCCGAGAGCACCGAAAGCAAAGGGGGGCACCGCCATGGTCACCGCCATGATTGCGGCGGTGTACCGCCCCTTTTATCAAGAGAGCAGAGAAATCAGGGGACTCGGCTGGGTGGTCACCGCCATCCTGTCCGGTGCCCCAACAACTAGTTTTTAGCCATTGGAATTTGACCGTTGGGCAGGTCACCGCCATGTCCGGTGCCAGGCACCGCCCTATTCGGTGACCTCGCAGAAACAGCTTCAAGGGGTATAACGGCTCTATTTGCTTGTGTGGCTGTAAATAGAGGGTGTGGCTGGCCTTGGCCACCCTCTTGGTAGCTCATACACTTGTGCACAACCTTTGGAAGCTGAGCAACACACTCCACTCACTTGTTCACTTGATTTCATCATCTTGAGTGAGCTTGAAGAGTCTCTAGTGCATTGCATTGAGTTGCATCATCTTGCGGCACTAGTTGGGTGATTTGGGCTAGTTGTGAGCTTGTTACTCTTGGTGTTTGCCGACACCTAGATGGCTCGGTGATTGGAGGATCATTGAGCGGAGTTGGTGATTGTCTCCGGCCTCGATCGGTTGCTTGTGAGGGGTCTTGTGCCTTCCCCGGCGGAGTGCCAAAGGCAATTCTAGTAAATTGCTCGTGTCATTGAGCTACCTAACCTGTGGGTAGGTTCTTGCGGCGCCTCTTGTGGTGGGCAAGGTGTGTGATACCTATTAGCCGCCGAACCACCAAGTGTTGGTCGACACAACGGGGACTAGCGTGCCGGCAAGCACGTGAACCTCGGGAGAAAAATCTTGTGTCTCTTGTGTGATTGGATTTCTCCCGGTGATTGGATTGTCTTCATCTTGTGATTGGTTCATTCTTTGACGCGGCAGTATAATTACCATACTCACTCTTTTACATTCCTTGCAAACTAGTTTTCAAGCTCTTTAGTGTAATTAGTTTTGAGAGCTTGTCTTGCTTGCTAGTTTAGTATCACCTAGTGGAGCTCTTTAGTGTAGACTTGTTGAGAGCTCTGAGTGATTAGTGACATAGCCATTGTTTGTGCCTTGTTATCATAGCAACTAGAATTGTTGAATAGGTGACTTGCAACCCTCGTAGAGCTAGATCAAAATTGCATTTAGCCATTTAGCGTACTAACCTCTTTCTCTAGTGTATTTGTAGAAATTTTTATAGGCTATTCACCCCTCTAGTCATTTAGGACCTTTCAAGTGGTATAGGAGTAGTGGTCACTGTTTGATTGAAGGCTTAACAACATCGGTGTCAAATTATGGCTCAAATTGTGTTCAACCATGTGACGGGTAAACCACCGTTCTTTGATTGCACATGCTATGATTATTGGAAGAGAAAAATAAAGATGTATCTTGGTTCAATCAATGATCAAGTGTGGGATGTGACCGAGAGTGACTATGTGATTCTTGATCCGTACAATCTCACCAACACCGACAAGGCCAACAAGCAATGCAATGCAATACAATGGCTCTCAACACCATCTATAATGCCATTGATTCCAAGGTGTTTGAGCAAATCAAGAATTGTGAGAGAGCTAGTGAAGTGTGGAAGAGGTTGAAGAAGACCTATGAGGGCACACCGACGGTGAAGAGTGCCAAGCTATACATCCTCAAGTACAAGTTGATAAGCTTCAAGATGAAGGATGATGAGAGCATTCTGAAGATGTTTCATAGATTGCAAGTAATTGTCAATGACTTGAAGGTTTTGAAAGAGAAGATCAAAGATGATGATGTCTCTCATCGGTTCTTGATATGATTACCTCCTAGATTTGAGACATTGAGATTGATCATCATTAGAGGAGGATTAAAGCAACTCACCCCTAACCAAGTACTAGGTGATATCATAACACAAGAGACATGCTGTGTGGAAAGGAAGGGGGTTGACAAGGATGACAAGAAGAAAGATAAAGACAAGAAGAAAAATAGTGTGGCATTCAAAGCTAGCTCATCATCAAGAACAAGGGCAAGTCCAAGAAAGAAGAATCAAGTAATGATGAAGATGCTAGTGACATTGGTGATGAAGCCATGGCTGTCTTTGTGCGCAAGTTTGGAAGATTTATGAAGAAGAAGGGGTATGGTGCAAGAAAGAGAAGAGACAACAACAAGAGCAAAGAATATGTAAGGAGATGCTACAATTGCAAGATCCCTGATCACGTTGTAGCAGATTGTCCCTACAATAGTGATAACAATGAGGATGCGAAGAAGAAGCACAAGAAGGATAAGAAGGAAAAGAAGATGAAGAAGATAACCTTCTAAAAGAAAAAGAAGGGTGAAGGCTATGTGATCATTTGGGATAGTGATGGATCCTCCCAATCCTTCTGTCCTCCTCTGACAGACTGCTCATCAACGTGTCATCCAACTACGGACTACTCCAGGTATACCTATCTGAAGTCCTGAACAATCATGCAACAGATTAATCGGCACTAATCCTCAGAAGGAATTACAATTTTCGTCATCCAATTCTTCTTCTTTGTATTCCAGTATTTCAGTGGCGAAGATCTTAAGCAAGAGCTAAACGACATTGACAACCTGACGGTAGAGAGGCTAGATGAGATGTCAGAGTTGTTCCTAAAAAACTACAAGAATGGCCAGCTGAAAACTCATGGATGGCCTGCCGACTCTGAGTACCTGGCCTACAAGGTATCCAAGGCTCTGATCAATGGCTACACCAGGATACTGGCGAAGGCGTTCCCAAAATTGCGCATCAACAGCGTGCACCCTGGCTATTGCAAGACTGACATCACACTGGCGAATATGATAGAACTCCGATGAGGAGGATGAAAAAACACACACGAACACAAACTGGACACAGTGATTTGGGCTGCAAAGCGGCAGCGTTTTCTATTGATTGCATACACTATATAAAGGAATTACATGCTGTGTTACAAGGAAATGAAAGGACCTGCTAATCCCGGCATACTCGTGATCAGTGGTTGCCATCCCAACCACGGGCCATGCCGCAACTGTGGCTTCGCCTCTAATGGCGTTAAGGCGCCTCTACCTTCTACAATTAGATGCTCAAGGACTTATTCAAACATTCTCCTCCTAAGTCCCGGAGCCACTAGCCTAACTTCTTCATGCCAATCTCACCACGGAGCTCTTGAAACCGAGAACGACCGA